GACAAGGCTCTGAGGCTCACAAGAACTTGGGTGCCTGACTCACACCAAAGGCATCCTCATTCCCCTCTAAAAACTGTGGGAGTTTGGCATCCTAATGTCTTTGAAGATTTGAGTGAGTGGGAATGACAGATCTTCATGGAATGTGCTGGGGTCTGGTTCGCACAGTGTCTGGTATAATTACATCACTTCCAAAGTGATACTTTGCTGAAGGAGTTTTGATGGTGCAGCTTCTAGAGAAGATGATCGTGTACCAACATGACAAATTTAACTGCCCCTGCAGCTGCCCCTCCTTGTCCAAGGCTGACTGTGATGGTTTAAAACCCTTTTTTGCTGACAGCACCCTGTCTGCATTGTATGGTGTGTGCAGGCTAAGCCATGGCAGCTTTCCTGAGCACAAAATACAACTCCTCAGTCATGCAGGAAGAACTCAGTGTCACCTGCAGGAGCAGATGGATTTGAGGGAAGGTACTGGGGCACTGTAAGGCATGAGCTGAGAAATGGCTGTGTGCCCCCTCTCTTCATTCCCACACCACCACCAGCCCAGGGGTATCACACAGAGCTCCACAGGGATTTGCTCACAGCCACCACAGCTGGGTGTGCCCCAGCTGGCTGAGGGATGGCTGCTGAAGATCCACTCTAGCCTGACAGACCATGTCATCTCAACCTGCATTACGGCCTGCCAGTGTCTTAGGCTGGGTACTAAGGAGTTTTATTGACTGATGGGAAAGCAGCACTAGACCTCCAAATCAGGGCAGTGTGGCAGCAGTCACTCTGCCTGCATTCCTGCTGCAAGCTTTGGTGAGGAGAAATGCATGGGAGTTTGAGGGGGAAAGGAAAGCAGAGGTCAGCTGAAGCTGTGGAGAAACTTCATAGCTGTAAGGGAAATTACAAGGCAAGAGGGACCAGTACTGAATGCTCAGCAGTAATGATGAAGCAAGCTATAACGTGACTGCAAATCTTGGGAAAAAGTAAGCTTTAAGTGTAGCAAGGGGGTTGCAGGTTTTTTTAATTTTATTTTTTATGAGACTGAAACTTGTTAGATTGTTAAAAGAAAATAAAAATATCATCAGATAATAAAAATACCATGTAGAACAAGGGACTTTAACTAAATGACATGTTGAGGCAACTTTCCAATTAGTGTTAGTCTATGCTTATGGTCTTCTCTGTGTTTCTCTTATAAACCCTTATTCTCAAAGATTTATGTCTGGCATTGGCTCTGAATTAAATTTTATGTACTAAATTTTATGTATTAAAATTATGTTGCCACAACAGAAAAATTTTGCTCTCCAAGAGCATTTACTTAAAACCTCTTTGTGATGCACATAGGGACAGATTATATCCTTAACAATTTTTCATCACTGAAAATGTTCCTTAAAATCTCTATTTGTGCCAAAAATTTGATATTGAGTGCATCTGAAGAAAGAACTGTGGGGAAAATGCCCGGATTTTCCACTCACCTATTGCTTTTTCTGGGATGGGTCCACGTAAAAGCTCTTCTAAAGTGATGGGTAGGAGCACTCCAGTGCACACATCTCTATCTAGAAATTACCATTCTGGACCACCAAACAAGTTTCTGTTTCTACTCATACCCCACTTATCCATGTCGTTTCCACACTTAGAGGATGCTTTGGAGCCAAGCTTTAAGCCTCCTAACTTTTTCCCAAGTATCAATGCATCCTTCTTGGGACAAAATGTATGGGTTCGGGGCAGATGAAAAGCAACTAGAACAGCAGTTGTTAATTAATGTAATTTTAATGTAGTTGTGTTTGTAATCAAGGCATGCACTGCTGGGAATATCCTTCTCAAAAAACATGCCTAGAAATGCAGATATTAGGGACATACTTCCAAGCTGTAGGGGAGGGAAGTTTAAAGTATGAGGAGGCAGTTGAAACAAATAATTGAAAAGAGAATATGTGGTTATATCTGTATATTTGTGGTATTTGTAGGTCTTTGTCCATGTGCTACTTCCACAAGTTTAGGAAAAGCAACACCTTCAGGTTCAGTTATGCAGATTTCCCATAAATTCCAACTAATAGCCAGGAAATTATGGCAAACACTAGACCTTTTCTATAGAAAGACACTCCTGTGCCAAGAAAAGGCCAGTAGATTAGAATGGAAATCTTGATGCTCTTTGAAGGAACATATATTTCAAAATGGATGAACTGCAGGAAACTTTCAGATCAGATTCATCTTTCTTTATATTTCTCACATGAAGTAGACAATCCATTTTCTCAGGAGAAACTAAACTGGCAAATTAATTTGAAAATTTATGTTGTAAAATATGTGTTTGAGTCCAGCTGTTTATAAATGCCTCCAGACTTAAATGGTTTGAGCAAATTTTTCAGAAATTATACCAACAAAATAAAAAATCCTATAAATTTGTCAGCAATTTGTTAAGTGTACAATGTCCAGTGTCCTGACGACTTGTCTTGCACAATCTCTAACCACATATGACCTATCTTTGTGGGATATATGGAACAAATAAACACTGGCAATAGAACTCCATCTGTTGCATGTAGCCACTCCTTGCTTTGCACAATCATGAAGGAAAGTTATTTTTATCAGCAATGTTTAATCACTTGCTGAAAGTATTTCTCCTGACGGTGCAGAGGGCCTGTGTCATAACACCATATGTTAATAAAGACCCACATGGATTTCATTGAAGAAACTGGTATGTCCAGATGGGAGGAAAGCTAGAGGAAGGAGCTTCTTTTATATAAAAACTCTTGCGATATATAAAAAAGCCAAAGAGAGCATAAGCAAACCATCCAGTGTGCAGTGAAACACTCAGACTTGTGAACAAAATTAACTTGGAGCCCTTGGCCCAAACAAGAAGATGCTGACAGATACTCTAATCCTCTTTTTCATTTTGCAATGTCTTTGTTTTCTAGCCTCGTTCCTCTGAAATGAAGACCAATCATTACCTGTCAATCATAATGGATCCTGATGAAGTCCCCTTAGATGAGCAATGTGAACGTCTACCTTATGATGCCAGCAAGTGGGAAATTGCAAGAGAAAGGCTAAAACTAGGTAATATTGGAATAGTCCATATAGAGTTTGGATTAATTGTATCTGTAACTATGGGTAAAGAGGAGCTGGATGTGTTCTGGGCACTCAGCACAATGTACTGTGAGGTTTGGTGTGATCTGTTCCACACTGAGAGTGCTGATCTGTGAATGAATTACAGCCTTTAGCACTGACTGACCATGTCTACTTGACTTTTCACATGTATGTTTGGACTTCATGTAGGAAAGAGAAAATAGAACCACGAGATCATTTAGGTTGGAAAAGACCCTTAAGATGAAATGAAACCATGAATTTCCTCCAGGAAAAAGCTGTGGAAGATGATGACAAAGGCTTTACTAAAGTCCAGGTAGACAACATCCACAGCCTTTCCCTCATCTATTAAGTTGTTCACCTGGCCACAGAAGGAGAATATAGACAAGAATGATGCATTCTATATTTTGGAAACTGATTTACTTAAAACATGACACAAAAAGAGCCACCAAAGAATTCCAAATCAGACTGACAACCTTGATGTTTCTCTCTCTAGAATCAGGAGCCTGACCTTTGGCATTTACTGTAATTTTGGTGATTCACTATAATAATGATGAAGGGTCTAGAGGGGAAGCTGTTTGAGAAGCAGATGAGGTCACTTGATCTGTTCAGCCTGGAAAAGAGGAGAAGAGAGGAGACCTCACTGCAGCTACAACTTCCTTGTGAGGGGAAGAGAAGGGCAGACACTGATCTCCTCTCTGTGGTGCCAGTGACAGGACCTGCAGGAATGACCTAAAGTTGTGTCAGGGGAGGTTTAGGTTGGATATTAGAAAAAGGTTCTTCACTCAAAGGGTGATTGGGCACTGGAACAGGCTCCTCAGGGAAGTGGTCACAGCACCAGCCTGACAGAGCTCAAGAAGCATCTAGACAACACTCACAGACACATGGTGTGCTGCTTGGAATTGTGCTGTCCAGGACTATGATCCTAGTGAGTCCCTTCCAACTCAGGATATTCTATGATTCTATGGTTTTCTTCCCCTTCTTCAACCTGGAAACTTGGAAAAAAGCCTGTGCACAAATGGGCCCTCATAGTTCATTCTTCACCCCTTCCCGTTTCTCCCTCTCCTTCTTTTTCCAGCACAACCTCCTTGTTTTCCCTCTGTGCTGCAGTTCTATGAATATTCTGTTATTGCATCATAAAGAGCAAGAATGTGACATGTAAGTCCACCCATAAATAAATAAATACCCTTGAAAACTTTAAGCCTACAGCCAGCTCCCCAGTAGATGTCCCAGCAAAAGGCATGGGTTTGGGACCATTCTTTAATAAACCTAGCGTGGGGCTGATGAGAAGGGAAGGGGGGAAGGGACCTTATTTTGAAGTTGATTAATCCCTCCAGAAGCCACACAGATTTTAGCAAGAAGGTCAACATTAAAATGTCAGTGATAAGCACAGCCTCGTTGCTATAGTGCTGTTTGTTCTTTCAGGCATGCATTACATTTGTCCTACAGCAAGGTCTAGAAAATCCTTTCATTCTAGTTAGAAGCTGTAACAGATTCCTCCTGTCTCCTGGGTATCAGGGACGAAGCTTGGATAACATGTGCAAAATTAGGACCACACTTAATTTGCCTGCCAGAAGACACAAGGTGGCCAGATGTGGATAAGCACAGCTGAAATATATTGCTCTCGATTTATAATTGTCATACATAATTCTGGGAATGCTGGAACCTTGTGCTGGAGTGACTTCAATCTTCAGACAATTTTCTTACAGCGATGGACCAAGAGACTGATGTGCAGACAGTGTGACCACTGGGAAAGAAACAAATAGAAATGGAATGTAAACACCAAAGAAAATCCCATGCTTTTCAGGGTTAGTGTTTGGAGTCCAGAGGTGACGAACAATGACCAGAGAATGAGTTAAAAGTGGAAGAACTGGTGTAAACAAATAAAGAATGCTGACAATGAATGAGAACCAGATTTGAAGAAGCTGTGTATGTGCAGTATGCTAGATTAGGTCAGTGCAAATCCTGCTTACATGGCAGTTGGCTCAGTCTTTGAATAACCTTGGCAATCCCTGAAGATTAGTGTCTCACAAACACAAAATGTGCTTCTATGGTTTTTAAAAAATATTTTTACTTAGAAATGCAACCCTTCCAGCATCTGATGTGACTGTTTTTCTCTTTCCACCTACTTATCCTCCAGGACACATATTTATTATAACTTTTTCAAAGAAGTCTCTCCTTTCAGCCTACATCTCTTTTGCTGTGTGTTCCTCCAACATGCATACACACAGCCCACGGCTGTAATGCAATGCTTATATAACAGGACTCTCCCTTCATCTGTAAGAGGTACAGACATTACAGGAAATTTCATATGGGCATCACTGAAGTCAGGGTAATTAACATTCAGCTTAGATTAGTCTCACTGAGAATAAAATCTTATCTTTTCACTAGGCACAAAACCGCTGGTGCCGTAAATCACTGTCAGTGTGGTTGGCACTAACACACTGCGTTAGCTGAGCCATCGTGTGCTTCTCCCCTCCCGCTTGGGCTTGACCTGCCCAGTCTGGAGGGGAGGCACAGTGCTGGTGCCAGGATCAGGGCCCGGGGCAGTGTGGCTGCTGGCTCCAGCGCCGTGTCACAGGCACTGGTGGCAGTGGGCTTCCCGAGCTCCCGCTCCCTCCTGCGCGCTGCAAGCGCACGGCGCTGGCACCAAGCACAGCACTTCCCACTCTCCTGCACATGCACAGCTGTCCTGTGAAACATAATGGAAAACATGAAGCCACCCGTGGGGAAAACCCAGATGACTCAAGAAGTGGCAATGAACCTGAGAAATGAGCACACCTTCGAGCCTGTGCCTTCCCACAGACATAGGGTGCGGTGTCTGCAAATGTTTTTTGCTAATGGTCCGGCTCCAGCAACTGACATGCTTGAAGGACCCTGCTAGAATAGGACTGAAACTAAAATCTCCTGATCCAAAACTCCTTGACTGAGGCGTATGTTCACTTTAATGCGTTCTGAGTGGCCCAGTAAATCCAAGTCAAGTGTGGAAAACTTAAGTAGAGCACTTTGCTTCACTGGTCTGGATCTAAATGCTGCAGCATTACATACCTGAGCATTACCCCAAACATATCCAGCGTAGCTGCACAAAGGCTATGATAAAATGACTGCTCAGACAGCTGGACAACTTAATATTAGTCTGATTAATAATTTTGTAGTTACTTTGAATGTCCACAGAAGGACAATGCAAGAACAACCACAGCCACAAATTGCATACTAAACTGTGGTGTTTTGATCTACATGATGTAAAGTTAAAGCAGACCTGTCCTGTGCTACTATTCAGCAGGGTACAAACAGCAGCAGAGCAGCAAGACTGAGTGTTGTTGCAGTTTCCCATTGAATCACACCACTGTTTAGAGAAGGAAGTGCTGTTTCCAGAGCTCATTCTCCTTTCTGAAAGGTTAGCAGCTTTGTGCAGCTTTATGAGCTGGTGAGTTTTCCAAGTGGTGACTAAGTAGGTTATCACGACGTGGGAAGTGAATTAACAGTGATGGAAACAGATTAAAGCTATGGATTAAACAAAGGAATGGCAGGTTTCATAGGACCTCAAACTGAAAGTTCTTTGTAGAAACCATGGACAGTCAAAACGTTAAGGACTAAAACCACCAATTCACTAAGAAAACTGAGACCTGAGTCTTAATGATGCTTCCCTAGCACATCTGCTGATTGAAGAATCTATATGCAGTAAATGAAAAAGGTGACAGTAGGTTTTTAGATGCACACTGATTCATCTGTATTTCTCTATCAAACACTAAGCTCTTCACAAACAAAGGTCAGTTTGTTAATGCTTTTCAGTCATATATATAAAGTTGTTTGTGATTTTTATTTGCTGTAAAAAATGACACTTTGGCGCATCTAGGGTGGAAATAATTTTCTGGGGTATTTTTTTAGCTCAGCATATTCCACTTCATTTTTCCATTGCTTTTATAACATATGGTATTTGCTTCTACTGACAGACATACTGAGAATTACAGTTTAGATATGACATAAAAGGCAGTATTGATTTAAACTGTTACAGACAGCAGCTCTTTTTCTCTGTTTGCAAGTATCTGAGTGGGATTAATCTCTCACTCAGATACCAACAAGATAGATGCTCACATGACAGCTAGTCAAACAGGTCCCGTTCATCACAGGAACAGGAAATTGTCATGTGGAGATGGTCATACCACATGTGCATATCTGAGAAACACATATATGGTACATTATCCTTTGCTTTTATATGAAAAGCTGACTGTTATTTTCTGCTCTTCTCTACACAGCAGTTCCTGCTGCCGTACTCTTGTTAGCCACTTTGGTAGCTGGGTTCTGCTGACAGTGAAGTACAAAAGCAATCTGAAAAATTATTGGGGAATAAAACTTATTGCTAGAGCTGCTATGTCAACAAGATCTCCCTGACCAAGCTTGAGAGCCTCTGTAGCAGGGCAGAGGCAGCCAGAGTTCTCTATGTGAACACTCTGTAAAAGGGGAAGTGGGTCTGTGTTGTTAAGGACATAACTGGCAGCACCACAGGCTGCAGCATGGTGCAGTGTGCTCAGGGAAAAGAGGAGCTAAATCTTCCTCTGGCAGAGCTGGACTGAAAAAATCAACTTTGAAGCTAGTGTACCTCCACAGAATGGTTGCATTCATTTAGTGACATTTTTACTCATATCACCTGCTCCCTCTGATGACTCAGTCTTCTAGGTTGACTGCTTACTTTTAAAAAAAACCCCAATAAACCAAAAAACCTAAACCAGCTATATGCTCGAAATATAACTATGGGACTCATTGGAAAGTGCATTTTTCAGTTCATCATCTATGAAGACATTTGCTGATGGGATTCCTTTTTTTTTACCAAGATGTATCTCTCCACTTTATTTTCTTTACAGGAAAATCTCTTGGACATGGAGCTTTTGGAAAGGTGGTACAAGCGTCTGCCTTTGGAATAAGGAAATCACCAACATGCAGAATAGTTGCTGTGAAAATGTTGAAAGGTATCTTGCCGCAAAGCTGCACTGGAAAAAATGATGCCTTATACAGTGGGGCATTTTAAATAGAATTCTGCCAAAAGCAAAAGCTTTCCCCAATAACTTTTTGAAGCCTCCAAAATATGTACAAATCAAGTTGCAGGACCACCACAAATGAAATAAGAACTGCATTCTCAGTAAAAAGTCATACCATTATGCTCAACTGACTCTATACCAAATGCTGTAAATTAAATTTAGCTGAAGTATAAGGTCTTGATGTAAAGACACTTGAATAGAAACTTTCATATTTTCCCTGGTCATTCATTCCAAGGAATTATCACCTTACTGTTAAAACCAAATGCCTTATGTCTCATTCACATATGCCTGACTTTTGCATCTCATTTTAACCTTCTCCATTAGATTTTATAATGATTTTTCTTCATGAAGGCCCTTTTATTAAGCTAAACACATTGAGCAGTTTAAATCTTGGTGGTGTTGTGCAACTGTGTCCCCTCCAAACTGGCTACAGGTACATCACACTGTGCTTAGGATGCTGACACCGAGGTTGTGCAATGGATTTGCCAGCACTGTTCATACACCAGTGCTCATCTGAAAGTAAAATCATCCCCCAGCTATTCACTGCCACCTTTCTCATTGGAGCAGAAAGGACAAAGCCCCCTCATTAATTTGAAGAGGGCACTTGGGATGTTAGTAAGCAGGATGATATTCAGTCATAGCTTGCTGCAGCTGTAATTGAATTCCCAAACTCAGAGTCCCAGTGTCATCCTTCCTTTGTCATCCCCCCCTATGAAAGCTAAGAAGCTTTCCCTTCTTTATTTGTGTAAGGATCAGAGCAGCTTTTTTTTTTTTTTTTAATTGCCCCGAAAGTTTATGCTGCACTGCTTATCTGTCTTAATCCCTGAATCCTTTCTGGTGTTGTTTCTCTGCCAGGACACATTCCCTGTTCTGCCAATATGGCTTGGAACCCCAATGCTCTCTGCTGCCTCCGATCAGGTGTAGTTTTAATGAATCCATCTTAGCCAGTGGCTCCCAGATTCACATATGCTTACTTATCACTTACCAGGAGATGTCTACATGTAAATTCCAGCCCTTGGAGTGGATTGATGGATCCAGGGTTTCTTTATGTACATGAACAGGCTTCTTGTGCCACCAGCACCACCAAGGAGCAGTGGGTGCTCCTGGAATGGATGGGAGCAGAAGGCAGCTGCAAGAAGTCTTCCTGGTGGGATCCACATGTCCACGTGCAGAGTAGATGTTTGTATCTGAGTTAGTCCCTCAAATGCCCTTCACTGGCAGTGCTGAGACAACAGCTCATCCCATCCTAAGGCAGACTCCTGTATACAGAGCTGCATCCTGTTCAGCCCTGCTGACAATGAAGAGAGCCAGTGGTGACCAGACCTTTCGTATCTTTAGTATCTCACCTAAAGCACAGGGAGATCTGCCTCATTCCTTGTGTCCTCACTAGATTATGCAGGAATTCAGCAGTCAGTCATTAGGCCTTATCCTCACAGGATTCCCATGTGGTGGAGGAGAGGTGTCACCACCCATACAAGCAAATAGCAGATCACCAACTAAAAGACAAGTTTTGCCAGGGACGCCAAGAAAAACTTTCCATTCAGGTGTTGAAACTAAGCCCTTTAAGATCCAGCTCAAAGGTTTTTTTCACAGGATTGTTCTTCTTGCTCTTGGTGTCACTAAACTGAAAAATTCCTTTTGGGCCTACAAAAAGCAATATGGTTTTTTCTTGTTTTCTTAACAAAATCAAATCCTGCAGGAAAAAAAAATTGCTCAGGGGAAATGAGAAGTTTCACTCAACACTAAATAGAATGTTTTGGATCTATTTGAGGGATTTCTTACGTCATTCCTATTATTATTGATCATGACTGGTAAGGGTGAGATGCAGTCACTTCACTTTAATCAATTCATATTTACTTCCTTAATCTATCTCCAGGCTTCCTACATAATGAACAGAACCAGGCAGGCATCACCCAGGGATAGTTCATCTTTCTCTTATACAGATAGCTAAACTTGATGGCTGCAGCAGCTTCTGGAAATACTTTGCTCTTGCCACTGACCCCTTAAAATGTTGATTAGTTCCGGGTAGTATATAACCCTTAGATAGCTGAAGTCAGGTCAGATGAAACCAGTTCTAGATAGAATTAATTACCATCTTGAAATTCCTTTTTATTTGTTCTTTCTTTCTTTTTTTTTTTTTTTTTTTCTTTTTTTTTTTTTTTTTTTTGGCTGAAACATCAGAACTATTAATGAAAAAAAAAAAAATCTCAGTTCTGAATAGGATGGAGTCTACTGGGAGGAAGTTGAGCCTGACTCTTTTTATGGGTTTGATTGCAACCAAGAGGATGCTGAGCAGGGAGGAATAGGGAGAGAACAGCAATACAATAAATACATCCAGTAATGGAGATTATTTCAGTGGAAAGTAACGAGAAATGGTACAGCTCAGCAGGACCAGTACTTTGCCTTTTCACATTGACTTTTTATTTTGTATTTACAGAAGGGGCCACAGCAAGTGAGTACAAAGCACTGATGACAGAGCTGAAAATCCTAATCCACATTGGTCATCATCTCAACATTGTTAATTTGCTGGGAGCTTGCACAAAAAATGGAGGTAAAAAAATCTGCACCACTCTGAAAATGGGTTTGGATTATCTCCCAATAACAGCCAGTGACCCATGTTGTTTTCATCTAGAGGCCATGTTAGGAGCTTTTATATTCAAGTTAATCCCGTACTTGGTGGGAAAAAAAAAAGAGGACAAGAAAAAGAGATTTTCAGTCATTTAATGAAGTGATTAAACATTTCCACTCTTTAAACTCTCTTTTAGTATTAATAGATGAAGTGTGAACTTAGGAATATGCCACTTGCTGTCCTTTATCTCCTTCACTCCACTGCTCAAACTCAAGTTAAACATGATCTGGAGAGGCTGGGAAAAAGGGATATCAGCTGCTGGCCCTGAATCACAATGCAGCTGTTGTAAAATCCTCCATGATACCACACTAAGAAAATCAAAAGACCAGTATGGGAAATTGTTTGTTTTAGATATGTCACCTATTTTAGTTCAACAAGTGTGTGTGGGCTGTGAGACTCCAGTCTGAACTGCCCAAAGAGGAAAGAGAGTGTCCCTCAGGACCCAGACTCAAGACCCAGCTTTCCAAAATTAGGCCCTGCCCTAATTTCCAGAAGCAGTATTGTTTTGATTATGTGCAGTGTCCTTCAAGCAGCCTTCTAGTTCTTTAGGACATGTTCCAGTTATTCTGGACTCAAGTTGTTGTCATGGGCATGTAACTATGGGCAGTTCTCAGAACTGATGCCACTTTTTATTGCTTTATGCTGCTCAAAATGTTTTTTGTTTCTTTGTTTGTTTGTTTGTTTTTAATTTAATTGCCCAGGGCCTCTGATGGTGATTGTTGAATACTGCAAGTACGGGAATTTATCAGATTATCTGAAGAGCAAAAGGAATCTTTTCTGCTCTAACAAGGTGAGGAGGCAGATGGTCCTGGTAGGGTTCATCTTACCTGATGTAAGTGTTGGTAATGTAGATGTCAGCTCTGAACTGGTCTCCTCACACTCTCTTCTACCAAAGGAGAGAAATTACTTTTGGATGAAATATGAAGTTCACCTGACCTATATTAATATTTGGTGTGGGATGTGTTGTGCCAAGAAAGGATTCACCTCTCCCTCCCTGACTGTGCAAGGAGCCTGCTGTGACTAATTTGGCTGGAGCCATCTACAGCCAGGGAAAGTGGATCCTATCCAAAGTGTCCCCATGTGCTCTTGCCCTGCTTTTGATGAACCCATTCCTGGTGAGCTTGAGGTCAGCAAAGACAAAGGAAGTGGTTTTGCCCACTTATTTCAGTACTACTGGGAGCACAAACAAGATAATAACAATTAAATCTCATGTCCCAAGAGAGCCCAATATTCAGAGATTTACAAGTAATCTTATTATTGTGTGAGGAGAAGAGCTATCAAGAGGAAAAGAGACTAGAGTCTTGTCCTCACACCCCACAGCCCTCTGAATCAAACTCATGATGTGTTTCTTATTATAAACCTAAATCCAAATGCCCCAGAAAATTCCAATTTTTCCAGAAAAAATCCTCCAAATGATCCAGGGCTCTGACATGAGACTTAGGAGCCTGGATACAGAACACCAGGTCTCAAAATCTCTGCTCAGCTGTGCCAAAAGCTCAGGGATTTTTTTTTGGGAGGGCTCTGTGGGAGAGCCCCCCCAAGAGGACATCCCCCTCTGAACGGCCTTTGCTGAGTCTCTGTTCCCAAGGCTGTCCATGTTGTACTCCACATGAGACACAGCACCTTGCTCCTCCTACATAGTGGGATGCTCAGCAGGGAGCATGGCTGGGCAGGGTCCATGCTGAGTGGAGTCATTCCCAAACCCTGCTCCCACATCCAGTGCTCCAGCACCCTTGGGAAGGTTGCCTGGGCAGGAAGGAGGTGGAAGTTTGGCTCTGCATCAGCATGCACAGGGAATAGAGATGGTTGCAGGACAAGAAAAAAAGTAAGAGGGGGCAAGATTATGGCCAGGCAGCCAGGCTGCTCTACAGGTAGCAGTGAGAGAGCTTTTTCCAAACAGTGTTGCATGTGTTCCATTAAACCATCACAAGATGGTCCATAAGAAGAAATCATTGGATTCAGGCACTGAAGAGAGGCAAACACTTCCAACAGCAGCTGTTTCAAACACCAAGTGTCCTTGCTCCTCATGGAAAGGGCTTACAAGCCATGTGTGCAGGGACATAGAGACAGATGCCTTAAGCAGGTTGGGACCAAAGGTCTGAGAGGCCTGGAATACCTCCATTGTGAGCACAACCTTCCCAACCCACTTCTTCATGCTCCTTCTCTGTCTGCTGGAGAGAAATGCGCCCTTCCAGATGTCTCATTTCAGGCTGAGGCACAGCCAGCAGCCAGGTCTATCCATACACCCTGCAAATTCTCACTGCAGCAGAGATAGCCCACTGCCCTGGTTACCCCAAAATCATGTGCTGGTGCTCCCAAGCCACCAAATTTATGCCCTCTGGGGATGATGACTTGGTGCAGCACAGCCCTGCCACCAGCACCTGCATGCCACAGTGGCACTGGACACCCCTGCCCATGAGAGATGTGACCACACATGACAGGGACCACCAGCCTGGCAGAAAGGCATCGTCAGTCCAGCTCAGTCCCTCCCCACCCCCTCCACTGCTCTGATGTAGCACCTCTTCTCTTTTTGTCTGAAGGACTCCTCTCTGCAGGGAGAGCCAGTGAAAAAGGATGTTGAGTCAGTGGAAAGCAAAAAACAAAGGCTGGCCAGTGTCACCAGCAGGGAGAGCTTTGCGAGCTCTGGGTTCCAGGAAGATAAAAGTCTGAGTGATGTGGAGGAGGACGAGGAGGGTAGGTATTAATTCCTTCCTGTTCCTACACGGACTGTGATATTTTTACAACATACTGTGAATCCCTGAAATTTTTTTCCTCATTTATCACCCTAATAAACATCCGTGGGAGATGCTCAGAGGGTCATGTCCAGAGGGGAGAAGATTTAAAAAAAGATTATTTCCAGGGTTACTAAATCTGACAGGAAAATGTGTGATTGTTTGTTCTGACTGCTCCTTATCTTCGGGGAAAACACAGCAGTGTCCAAAGCATGGGGAGTAAAGCAAGCACTATTTTTGTTTCCAGTGACAGTGGGCTGACCTTCAAATACCCCTCCATAAAGACTGAATTTATGGGAATAATGGGGTCTGTAAGAAAAGGGGAAAACAATTGCCTGTGAGCTATCTTTGTTACAAACCCTGCTTTCCATCTCTGCAGATGCTGATGACCTGTACAAGTTACCCCTCACTATGGAGGATCTGATCTCTTACAGCTTTCAGGTGGCCAGAGGCATGGAGTTCCTCTCCTCCAGAAAGGTGAGTTTTGTACTGAGGGTTTTTCACTGCCGAAGGACAGGACTCAGAGGTGAAATCATGTCTACATTGTAGTGACACCTTCCTTGGGAGAGGTCCCAAAGGAAGAGCCGTTTTCCTCTTGGCATTATAAATATAACTGTGTTTATCCAAGTATCCATAGTCCATAAACACAGGATCATGACTGAAGGCAGTGGGTCAAGCTCATTCATTTGGGCAAGATCTTTTGGGTGTGGTAAGGTTTTCTTTAATTTCAACATATATTAGGAAGCTCCAAATGATTCAGCTCTTGCCCTGCAAATGTCAAAGGGCTTACAAATTTGTCACTTTCTGGACTTATTAATTTTTAAAAAAATAATTACAGCTGTTTACAGTAACTTCATGTAAACTACAGACAACGTCTCTAAAAAAATTACATATAATAAAAATAACAATAATAATTATAAAATTTTAAAAGGATATGGGAGACAGGAAATTTGTGGGCAGGAATAAGGAAATGCAGTTTGATTGTGAAACTGTTTTATTATAGTGCATTCATCGTGACCTGGCAGCCAGAAACATCCTTTTATCTGAGAACAACGTTGTGAAGATCTGCGATTTTGGCCTCGCAAGAGATATTTATAAGAATCCTGATTATGTGAGAAAAGGAGATGTAAGTCAAGATGCTGTTTATTTACTCAAATGTTTATAACATGTCATTTCAAACTGTCCACCAAAACGTTCTGTAGACATTCACATTTCCCAAATTTAAGAACTCAAATCTGTCATGGTTTTTATGTGACAATAAGCTGTCCAGATGTGTTGTGGGTCTGGGAAGCATTTCAATCCTCAGCCATAAGGCTTAGACATGCTAACTGCTTCACAGCTTTGCCCTGTTAATACTTCGTTTTTTAGACATTTCTTGGCTGGCTCACCATAACCCCCTTACTCTGTAGACTTCCTTCAAGGAAAACAGCCCCTCCAAAAGAAGGTGTGTACCCCCCAGTGCTCGTGGCACCCTTGTGGAGCAGCTGAGCAGGACTTGCTCCTCCAGCACCTATTTGTTGTTTTTTTCCCCCGCTGCAGAGAGCAGCAGTGACTGCCCTGCCAGCCCTGCCCTGAAGGGCTGGGCCAGCAAACTGTGCTTGCACCCAACCATGCCATGGGAATTTGGTGTAGACGTTGCAGTCATGCAGAAAGTCTCCTTCTGGAGGTCTCACCCACCTGCCAGCTATTCCCACATTTGTAAATAGCTTCCAGGCTCTACAGCACTGCAAATTATCTGGGAAATGTTCACATAGCTTTGGTACTGCAGGAGACCCTAACAACCTGTGCTGAGGGGGTTTCAAGGGTTGCTGATGTGCTCCTGCAATTCTGGCTCTGTAAATTTCCCCCAGAATATCTCCAATATCATTACAGAATGATTGGTGCTTGCATGTAGGGCTTTCTGCCCTGTCTCTAGGATGCTGGCAAGAGACCTCTGCTCCTACACACTCCCACATCCCTGAAAAGAAAAGGCCTGGTCACAGGTTTCCAATGTTCCAATGTGTTTTGTGCCACGTGTTTTTTTTTAAAAAGCCTTTTACTCCAACAATTTATTAAGCGTATGAATGAGGGTGGGTTTATCTTGACTGCCTGTAAGGAAATCCCACAGGTTCCTGCCTGAATGGTAATTATTTACATAACAATATATAGTTGATTCATCTATGATTAAAATCTTTCAGGCTTTGAAAATAATAGTCAGATTTGTCCCTTTTACTCCAGGCTCGACTTCCTCTCAAGTGGATGGCTCCTGAATCCATATTTGATAAAATCTACAATACAAAAAGCGACGTGTGGTCCTTTGGGGTCTTGCTGTGGGAGATATTTTCCTTGGGTATGTTAACTCTGCACCCCAGGAGCTTGACAGGAGTAGGTACTGCAGCTTGGGAAAAACATCCATTACCTTCAATGATCTTTTGGCAGGTGTTTTAGAAAGACCTAAATCAGAAGCAGAGGGATTATCATGCCCCTGTGAACTAGAAATTTTGGTGCTTTTAAGAGTGTTGAAGTTCATTTGCCAAGCTGAAAGCCTCAAAGGATAGCACAGCTGTCTGAGAACTTTACCAGCTGCTTCTGCCATGGGCAATACCTAAGCTTCCCACTTTTCCCTGTAGAAAGCCTTGGCAGAGGACACAGGGTAGCATAGCCAGAGCAGTCACAGTGCTTTGTCTGACTGATGGCACTAGCCAGGAAAATCAGGCAATTTTTAAAGCATTTTAATTGAATGTGCGACCCTGTGGGATAACACAGAGCTGTGATTCTGGGTCACCAGCTTCCCAGGACCAAGGCACCATCTCCTGTGCCACAGGCAGCATTCAAGACACCAAGTGCCATAAGCTGAGTGCTCTCTCAAAAGCTTCTTATTCCTCTTATGGGAGCAAGGAAGCCAAACCCACAGTTTGCATGTCTCAGATCCTGTCACCCCCCTTTCCAGCCTGAGTCCAGGAGGGAACCAGCACCCCCCTTACCCAGGCTACTGGACACAGCAGGCAAAAAGCATCTGCACTGATGCCACAGGATGAACTAGAGCATGCAATCTGAAATTAAAACCTGGTGAAGCCTTTTTTTCCCCTTTCTTTCATGTGGAAAAGGCAGGATACAAAATGTACACTGAGTGGGAACAACAATGACTGTCAGAATAGAAGAATCTTAATTGAGTTCAACACAGAGGCTGACAAAAGAGACAAACAGCAGAGGAAACAATACCATACAATTCTCAGGACAATAAATCATTTATTAGTTTAAATACATGTTGTTGGTCAGCCTGCCAACTCTTGTGATTTTATGGTCAGCCTCATAATACCTGCTATTTTTTTCTTAAAGCCCCAGCTCCTTGAACCTAGTGACTCTCTGACTCTATGAAAGGTCCTTTTTTTCCCCCTTTCGTTTTCCCTTTTCCTGACTTTTTTTTGTCTAAAAAAAAAAAAAAAAAAAGGACCAACAATACAATCAGGCTGCATCTGAAAAATACAGAAAATAGAAAAACAATGCAAATGTACTGTGACCTCATTTAAAACAATTATTTCAATTTTTTCAAGGTGATTTTGGGCATTTGAGGTTTGTTAATATTGTGCTCACTAGAATTTGGAGTAGTCCAAATTGGCTTTTCAAGGGATAGTGTTAGAATGAAATTCATGTGCATTTTTTCTATTCAGGCCAGGAAAGCACCACCAGTAGCTGTGGCCTTGATCTTACACCCCCCTCCAAGGACTGGGGCTTGGAGCACAAAAAGCAGCAATTCCCTGCCTGTGGCAGCCAGCAGGGCCAGACCCTGCAGGGGGCACCCCCTGACCCCCAGCTCTGCAACCTGATGATGCACACCCCAAGCAATTGAGGGAGATGCATAGGGCCACAGCAAGGTCACAGGTACCCAAGGCATGTATCTATTCTCTCAATGTCACTTCCAGGTGCCTCTCCTTACCCCGGAGTCCAAATAGACGAGGATTTCTGCAGCAGGCTGAAGGAAGGCACAAGAATGCGAGCCCCAGAGCAAGCGACTGCGGAGATGTAAGACGCCTTTGCTTGCCTTGTGTACCACTGCCCACTCTCCTGGGCTGCCCTGCAGAGGATGTTCCAGCCTCTAAAAGTACCCTGTGCCAGCCTAAGGAAATACAATCCAATCCTCCATCGGTATCTTCTTGTGCACGCCCCATCCTGGCCCCTGACTCTCCCAGAGGGTAGGGGGCAACAAGGACCTGAGCCCAGTGCATCACCAGAGCTGTGCTCTGAGGGAAGCTGAGCAAGGAGGAGGAGGAGGAGGAGGAGGAAGGTCATTCATTCCTTGCTAGGTTTAATATTTACTGACATGCAGAGTGATAAGTGCTGGAGAAATGTGACATTATTAACATCATCTTGACTTAGGAAGTGACAGTGGAGGCTTCCTCGCAATCACTCGGGTAATGAGGGCCCACCCTTTCCTGTACACCCTGTCTGATGGCAGAGGAAGGTGATGGGGACCCACAGCCACCCCGCCCGGGTTGTCTGAGTCCTTACTGCCACGTCAGCCATCACTCCCTGCTCCCCTGCCTTCAGGTGGTCTCAAGCTGCTACTGCATGGCCAGCACCTTTTTTTGGAGACCAAGGTGGGTCAGGACAGAGCACCTTGCCTGGGGAGGCACATTCAGCACACTGAACATTCACCCTGTGACACAAATCATTGAGGACCATGAACATGTCCAGGGTATTTTATCTCTGGAGGCAAAATCAAGTACGTGCGGGTGTCTTGGTGGCCTCCCGAGTGCTATGTCATGACTCTAAATAGCAACAGTTACAAAAAAATAGTTCTAGCAGAAGAAAAGGATGCAAGCCAGCCATGCCTATCTGGAAGTATTGCCCATTGACTAATTTTATTATCCTAGTGACAGTAGATAAGAGCTTTTTTTTTGTCTCTTCCACATATTTTATTGCAGGAAGGAAAGCTCGGCTCAACCAATACAAGGAAGTGACACATCCATATAAGTCATCTTAGGATGCCTTTAGGATACTTTAACCTAAACATTGCCAGTTAATAGATGTTTAATACAAAGGTCTAATGCTTAATTAGGAATGAAAAAAAGGAAGTATGACTGGTTGCCTTAATTATCCTTTTGATGTGCAGGAAGGTTTTCTTTTTTTGTGGAAAGTTTATTGCTTTACTTTTAGGAAGAGGGCTCAATGGTGTTAGAGAGAATCTTTGTAAAACCAAGCAGGTTGAGGAGTTACCTACCTATGTCTGTCTATCAATGACAAAATGTCAAAGACTGTGCTGCCTTGGATCAAACAGAGCTGTAGGTTACACTGTGGTACCAGTGTGCTCACTTTGCTGTTGTCCTCACAGTTACCAAATCATGCTGGACTGCTGGCAGAGCAATCCCAACGACAGGCCACGGTTCTCCGAGCTGGTGAAAAAGCTGGGCGACCTGCTGCAAGCAAATGTCCAGCAGGTATTCATGTCACAACTGCATGCTGTCACCAAGGCAGGGGCAACTGGCCACATGGACCCAGGAATAAGGCTTTTATTTCTTGTTTACATTTAGGAAGGTAAAGACTACATACCACTCAGCACAATATTTACAACAGAAAGTGGGTCTCCCCCTGCATCTGATCCTTTGTGCAATGAAAATTTTCCTGTTACAAGCTCAAGTTGTGGAAGCACCGAAAATGTCAGGTGAGATCAGCAAGATTAAGACTGTGTCTGTTTGTTGGGGGTGGTAGATCGCTGCATAGCCCTGGGTGGGAGAAAACACTCAGAGACAGCCCACGAGTAGCCTGAGTGTCCCCCCAGTTGCTGAGTCACCCACAGCTGTGGCTTTTTGGAGTGCCCCTGCCCAGAGGAGCCTGCAGGTCACAGGGCACAAGCATTGTGAGAGTCACAGCTGTGTGTACCCCGGGACTGGGGAGTGAGATTTGGATGGGGTCTGGTTAAAAAGTCCCTTTTGTACAACCTACCACAAAGATAGCTGGGAACTGCCTAAAGAAACAGAGAAATACCCAACACTTCCTGCTTGTGCACTTCACACTCTCACCAAAAATTGTCCTCTTTCTCTTGTTGGACAGATACGTAAACACTTTCAAAATAAACACCCCCCAGCGTATAAAGACATTTGAAGAGCTTCCCATGAAGGAAACACTTGTATTTAATGTAAGTGACTCCTGGGCCAAATGATATGCCATGTATTTCTTTTTATTTATGTGACAGGTTTATACAGGGATAATCAGGATGGGGGGGGTTACTGCTTTGTCAGCTCTAACTGATACAAGGTCCAGGATTAGCTTGCAACAAGAGGTTATCCCACTGACCTACAAACTAGGGTCAGAGATCCTTGCTGGCCATGTCATGGGCTGCAAACTCTCCTTCCCTGACAAGAAGTGGTCAGTTCCTGTAGGTCTGCAAGGTATAGCTACCAGAGTCCCCCCTGAATCTCACCAGTGTGAGAGAGACACTTAAAATCCCTTGAATCTTCATTTTCATCTGAACAGTAGTGCACAAAGGAGGACTATGGGTCCCTTTTCCATCCGAGGGTTCTTGGTAGGAACAAGACCTGTTAACAGATGGACAAACTGGAGCCACGTCTAACAGTGGGACACACACCCAATCCTGGCAGGGACAGGCATCGCTAAGAGGCTGGGCAAGCTTTTAGTGACTCAGTAGAAGGCATTAAGCAGCAGGAGGTGGGAAAGGCACAGTGGTCCTCACAGGGTTGAACTGATGGCTAGCCAGAGCCTCAGACTGCATGTAGACACTTCGCTTCTAGCACCCTGGATCTGCATTAACATTACCTGCCTGCTGCACCCCAACGCACGGGTGGTTTGGAAAGCCACCATTAAATACCTGTGCGCTGCTGTGCACAGAGCTGCTGCCTCCTAGAGTTGTCTCAGTATCAATTACCAGAAGGATGCTGGAAATCAGACCAAAGAGGAACTGAGTCCTTTGTAAATACAGTTAACACCTAACAGGACTGCATCTTTCTTTTTTCTTCAAGGATTGTCAAGCAGACAGTGGGATGGTGCTGGCTCCAGAAGAACTGAAACGTTTCACATGGACAGGCAGCAAGCAGAAACGGACACTCTTTGGGTCTGTATTTTACATTCCCTTCTCAGATTTTAGATGGCAAAGGAGAATTCAAGGTCCTGTGTTAAATCATGCCTTATGAAAGTAGCTGAGGTGGCCCCAGTCCCTGCAAACACTCTTGCTGAGGTGTGTCCTGCTTCGTTTAATCAGCAGTCAATCATCTTCCACACCTATATCTTTGAGGAAGCAAATAACCCTCAACCCTTTTGATGCACATCAGCAATATGATTTATTAGCACTTATTGATCCACCTAATGCTCAATTTAATGCCAGAGTGTCAGAGAGCACTGAACTGAGGTAGGAGGCAGGTAACCGTAGGAAACAAGCCCTTAATAATAGGGGAGGAGGAACGTGTGGCTGTGAAGGATTTGCAGTTGTTTCTGCAAGTCCCAAGGGCACCCCAGCTGGGACAAGGCCCCCTGTGCTTGTTTTTGCCCTTCTTTTCCATGACTCAGCTAAGCACGGCCCATTTAACACCCATGGGCTCAGGATGCTAAAGTGGCAAATTTACAATAGATGGATGTGAGGGCCTCACTTCTCTTCCTGCCTTTACGCACTTGAATATATTGGCCATCTTCCTCCACCTAATTCCTGACAGCTGCCCAAGCAGGGAACTAGGGCTGCTCTAAGAAATGAGTTGCACTGACATGAACTCTCTGTAAATGGGAAGTGTTTATTTTCTCAGTGCCGGCGCTGTATCAGTTCCCAGCCGCTGCAAAGCTGGCAGTGTCCTGCTTTCAGCTCACTGCTCTCAGCCAGCCCGGAGACTGCCCAGACCCAGCCCATCGTTCATCTCATGCTGGCAGGAGGTCAAGGCCAGCCTGCCATCCTGCCAGCACCAAACTTGTCAGTGCCTTACAGTTGGGCAGGCTGGGAGGTGTAGCATTGTCTCAAAGAACAATCAGAGCTGGCTGAAACGTGCAGTCAAGGCAGAGACCTTGCTTCACGAAAAATTCCAGCGACTTAGAGGGCGTTGGTTGAACGCACAGAAATACGTGTAGGAGAGCGCGCGCGCTCGCAGGGCTGGAAAGCACGGCTGGGTAAACATGCTGCTGGCAGCAGCCTGCAGTGGCAAAGCTGCTCATGCGTGGCAAAGATAGGGCAATGCAAGACACTCCAAACAAATGCTGGGAAACCCTTTCTCCTGCCTCGACCTTGCAGAAAATACACTCCTGAGCAGTTTTATGGTACTTTATGCCACTCTGTTGTGGCATCCTGTCTTTGGAGGAGCCAGGAACTAGAGAGCTTGGAGTATATGTGGATATTACAGGGTTCCAAAGGATATAGTGATCCCTAGAAGTGGTTTAACTCATTTTTTTTTCTCTGTGTATTTCTGAAGGCTGCTGTCAGCCACAGAGACAACTAGGCAACCTCCCCAGACAAAATTTATGAAATACCTTTTTCTTTGCATGGCACAGAATGCATGGAGGGTGTCTCAAGCATTCCTCCAGAAATGCTTTAAGGGGCATTATCAAATGCAGAAGGAAAAAGAATGCTTGGATAAGAAAAATAATTGATCTGAACAGTGGCTGCTAGAAGGTAGATCCTTGGGAAAACAGAGTGGTTGACTGAGATCATACAAGGTCATCTGGCCTGCAAGCTAAACAAGTGGTACTGTAGCGCTGTGCCAAAACGCACTCATGGATGTGAATGCCAGCAGTGACCCTTCAGTCTGCACACATTCCTAAAAGTGGTAGCATCTTACCTAAGCATCCTTTACTTAAAATTAATTGGAACAGTAAATAACCCTAAAATTTGTACTGAGCAAGGTGGAGCCTGGAGGGGTTTGAGACATGGAAACTGATTTAAGCAGATATACAGTCCTGCTTCTTCCCTCACAATGCAGGCATCCTGCTCTGTGCTCCTGTGCTCACTCTTGTGCTGACATTTCAGTTTGGCTTTTCTTGCAGGGAGCTTATTCAGGTTGCCAGATTGTCAGAACAGTTTCTGAGTGAGCAGCAGCAGCTCACAGTCAGGGCTGCTGGTGCCAGCACCAGGCTGAGGAAGGGTTTCACCTCCCTTTGACAGCAGCTTACCTACAGTTAGATCCCTTTGCTGTAACAAAACACTGGAAGATTCAGACTGGGAAGAGCTGAAAAACTGCATAGTGTGGAAGGAGCCAAACCCAGAGCACCCTGCCTGTCTCCAGAAGCTCTCCAAGGGTTTGTTTCAGGGGAAACTGATCATTTGACTGCAGGAGAGAGCCAGCATGTGCAGCAGTGCTTCCTCAGTGTGACCAAACCGCGAGCCAGGCCCAGGGTAGAGCAGAGCATGGAGCCAACCTGAGAGTGCAGGGGTACCCCACTGACCCTGGAGAGGCACCTCCTCTTGGGCTTCCACTTCTCCTGCCTAGGGAAAGGCACTAATGCCAAAGCTCACCCTTGGTTTCACTATAGGAAAGAGCATCAGCCCAAACCCTGGTGAGCTCCTTAGGCCCAGGTGGTGGCCAGGAGCATGAAACACAAATAGTTGCAACGTGTCTTGGACTTGCTAATGCCACTGAGATGAAAAATTATATTCTGAATAGCAGGAAGAGAAGTAGGTTTTTCCTAATATAAAGCCTCAGGTAAAAGACCCCAGCAGAAAGGTCTCGGGGCAGTTTTCTGAGCTGTGCTCCTTCACAGGTAGAAAGGATCCCAAGTGCAACTCTTTTCTAGCTTTTCAGTAGTGGTGAAAAAGCCCTACCCAAGTAAGCCAAAATCCTTGGGCTGAGGCAAACACTTGAGTCAGTGTAAATAATAAAGCCAGAAAAAACAGCAAGAATTTCACCTCCTGTGAGCTGGAACAAGCATCTCGAAAGCTGCAGCCAGCCTCTAACCTCACTTTGGTCCTGAAGAAGGCAAGAAACCAGCAGCCATTTCCTCCAATGAACAATCCCAATTAAAGACCAACTAAATGCGGTTTCCAATTTACATTCCTAGATTGGCAAGAAGATAGTCCACAAGGCTCTGCAAGCCTCAACAGATGCTTTGAATGTCTTAAAGACATTCAAGACTAGGGCTGCCAACGTTTCTGACCTTATAAATGGAGAGGAGTGGATTGTCCATGAACTTATAAAAACACAGGGGAAGAAATCTAATTTTAGACACTGTGGTCCAACTTTAGGATTTTGTTTACTTTAGGATTTCAGATGTAAACAGTGATGGAAAAATGCTCTGGCTTGTCCTTTGCCTACAGATAAATCTTTGGTATCCAAGTTCCATGGTGCAAAAATTCTCTTTGCCCTAATCTTCTTCATTACTGAAAGAGCCCTTTTAAGTACTGTGATCGCTGAATACTGGTGAGAAAGTGCCGTAAGGAAAACAATGCCTTTAAAAGTGGTTTTGTCCAGAAGACATGAAACCCCTCTTAATAAAGGCCATCTTATAAAAAGCAGCCTACAGGATAACTGGTCCTTTTAAGGGATGTGAGAACCCCGGCCTTGCTCTGGGGTTTCATATGGTGGTGAAATTCCTCCTCCAACCCATGTTTCTAAAGAAAAACTCTGCAGGCTTTAGCTGTTCAGTCTCAAGGAAGTTTATTGCTAGTTATCTAACAGATTATGTTCTTGGACTGCGGCTATTTGATCAGCGGCCTGGGTAGAGGCACACACACACACTGACATCCTCTCTATCTGCTGTCTTCTTCGTCTCTCTCTCCGCCCAGGGCTGCTGCTATCTTTTGTAAGATATATTATGTATAACATGTTTACAATTATTCCCCAATACTTATTACCTACGTTGCCAAATGTTTTTCTACTCTAAACCAATCTGTGAGTGCCAACATCACCAAGAACATGGAGGTAAGGAAAAAGAAGGAAGAAGAACAGGATCAGCCCACTTTCCTCCATCTTAGAACTTCTGACCCCCATGTACAAAGTGAAAACCCCCCTGTACATGTGTTAAAACCCCCCTGTACAATACTAAAAAAATTTCCCCTCTACTTTGTAACTACTTTTACTATACTACTAACCCTTTGTGACTGCTTGTTCCACCTCCAAAGTTGGTAATTCATTCCATGGCTCAAACTCAAAATCACAGCTGTTTTTCAGCTGTCTGCCAGGGTCTAGAATGCTTCTGACTAAGGCCTGGAACCTCTAAAAATGTCTGAGAGACATTCTGAGTTCCCACAAAGGGACAGGAAAATTCTAATTCAAAGGAGCAGTTCATGGCAGCTGACAAAAGCCAAAAAAGAACAGATAGCCAGACCTCATGCACTTCCTCACAAACATCAGCCCTTTGTATTAGAAATTCATCCCAGCATTAAGCTTTGGGAACTCTTACATTAGTAGTTTTCTATTTTTGCCTCAATGTTTGAGACTTTCCATCACTTCACTCCTGGTCAAAACCCCCAGTTTCCTTACGAAGAAACATTTAGATATGGGGATACACTGCCTCAACACCAGCAGAGCTGCCAGACACTCCCCACTACTCCACCCTGCAATAAAGTTTCACTCCCCAGCACAAGCCACAAATGAGCAAGTAGAGCTTAGGCTAAGCAGTCCATAACTCCCCTCAAGCAGCAAGACTGATAACAATGCAGGAACACTTCTAACAGCGATGTTCACTCCCAGCACCTCTGTTTAAAGGGGACTCACAGGGAACACAGGAGGGCCCCCCTTCATTCCTCTGTGCTGCACTCCCATGGAGCTAGTCCATCTGCATCAGTGCCCTTGCCACCATGTAAGAATTAACTTGTGACCTAGCTTTGCTCAAGTCACTAAAACAAAAATCTATACATGTTAAGAAAGCTCACAATCACACTGCTCTATTCCAGCATTAAAGGTGCCAGCAGGAGCAAGGAGTCAGTGCTTTCTGGAATAACCAAGCCAAGAAGCTTCTGCAGTTTCAGCTGTGACCAGCTCAGTGACTCCAAGCGAAGACACACCTGTGGTTATGCAATGCTGGAGAAAGTGATTGCCAGCCGTTCTCCTCCTCCCGACTACAATTCTGTTGTCCACTATTCTCAGCCACCGGTTTAAGTACTTCTAGGCCAAGATCTAAACACACAGGTTCTCATGAAACACTATCAGTTTAAAAACTCTGACCCAAATTATTTTAATTATCATAAAACTTGAAAAGTTATCATTGGCTTAATCCCAGTGGTCTGCTTTTCTACAGACCACAGCACAGATATTCAAAATACAGCAAAATAGAAACCTTGACTTTCCCAAATGCTCAACACCAATAACTTTCACTAAAAATGCTGAGTGCTTCTGCATCCAGGAAAACCTGGAAGGCCATTATTACAGCCTCTGCTCAAACTTGAGTAATTTCTGTCCTGACTGGGAGAGGCAGATGGGAGCCCTAGAGAGCTGGGAATCTGCACTAGGCACTGAGGTATTTGCACCCCATGCCTGAAGTATGTGTTGTGCTGGAAAACAAAGGAGCCTTCAAGAAGATAGAAACTAGAAACAGACCACAAACTGTATTTTTTATAAAAACTACTTTGAGAAACTTGTGGGAGAGCTGATGCTCTGGAGAAACTGAATAAGCTAATTGGGGATGAGGCATTATATGGAGCTTACTGCTCCAGATGGTATACACAGTAGGAAACCTTGCAAGACAAGAATTTAAAATGTGTTGCTAAACACAACTGGCAAGGATAGAGGAAAGCTGAGACCAGATCCAGGGTTGTAACGACAGGGAATACATACCAATTCAGTTTGGACAATCCTGCTGAAACCAAGAAAATGAAGTTTTGCACTTTGTGAGTAAGCCAACATGCACACACTGGAACCAAACCACAAGGCAGATAGGTTAAAGCCAATCTCTGTCCACAAAACCTCACAGACCTTCTAACACTGCACTGATTGTATTTTATTTATGGGAATCTGTCTGAAAAGACAGGATGGCTACTAGACTGTACAAACTTTAATTGATCACTAAAGAGTTTGAAGAGATTAGTTAGAAATCACAAGACAACCTGTAAAGTTAGGGCAGCTTTTCTATGAAGACACCTAAATTTCCATGTTAAGTTACCAGTATATAGAAGAATAAAAATGTATCATTCATTTGCAGCAGACTTTTGTATAACATCTAAGAAAGGTCAGGAGTGTTCTTTGCTTGAGAAGCAATAGGATGCACCCGTTTCCTTTCACCTTTGAAGGCAGTACTGAAATGAGGGACTTTTAACACAGTAGCACTGATATCTGCCAAATGAATTAAAGCCCAATATCAGCTTCTTGTGGTCCACTAAAATATGTATTAACTCAAATGCTACATATTATATGATCTCTTGCTTTCTCAGAATTCAGCTAAAGAGCTGTGAATGTAAGCCACTAACAGACTTTAAGGCAAATGACCTTTTTCATATTTACAAATAAAAACTATTTTTGATATTCAAGCAAAATAAATATGTACTACTCCTTCTGAGCTAAATATCTCTGCACAAGAGATCATCAGTTTTAAGTATCTATTGCACCGTCTCTTGTTGGTAAAGTATATTTGACCTTGACCAAGACAAAAGTTTCAGTAAGCTTTTGTTACTAGAACTGAGCAAGAATAGTTACAGGATGATGCATCTTAAAGGACATGTTTGCACAGTGTAAATATATAAATATGCTTTTGTGCATAAATATTTAAGAAAACTGGACTACAAAGATTACTTTTGTATGAACCCCCAAGTGTCTTCAGATGTGAAGAACTCCTATTTTGTCTTGCATTTTCTGTCTTTATATAATGTGTTTGACTACTAAATTCATATAATAAAGTTTGCTTTTTAAAAATAAAATCAGAGTTCTGCCAGTGTCAACAACTGCTGTGGCACACAAGTCAGCACAAACATCTGGCACACATCCATCCCACAGGCTGATTTTGTGAGCAAAGGAGAACATGGAATAATCACAAAGAAGGAAGGCACACTTCTCATACAGCAAACCAGCTACAGTGACAGACACTTGTCACTGCTCCCTGTGTGGGAAGAGCTTACTGCTGTCTAGAGACAAAAATTCAACTCAGCCTCTGGGAGAGGCAAGGTTTCATGGTGGAGGAAAACAAAACAGCACATGGAGACAAACATCCAGCCAACCACCTACCATTCCTGGTTTCTTCAGCAGCTAGAAGATGCACACCAGAGAAAAGGACAGCAAACAGAGCTAAGGTGTCCCCACCAAAACCTGGTCTGAAGCTACTGTGACAGCAGGCAGCACCTTAGGCCTGGGTAGTGACTCTTCAGAGAATCCCCACATCCCCAGTCCCATCCATCCAAAGCTGGGGATGCTGCCTCCACAGAGATCTTTAATCAAGTGTTCTCTGCTAAACACCATTCAGTCATCTGAGGCGCTCTCCAAGTGCTGGAAGGAAGTGGAGATGAAACTTTCTCTGGGAAAGCAGAACACAATGGGATCATCAATTGCTGCAGGAGTTCTGCACCTGCACATTACTAAGGAGGAAACTGGAGACTGGATATGTGCATCAATCAAACAATGCAGCTTCTATAATAACATGCCTAAACCACTGCAATTTTAGCAATAATGACTCCATGTTAAATACATTAAGGGATTATTGACAATCCACAATGTATGGCACAAAATTACATCTTCCATAAGCATGGTCAGCATTGGATGGATATAGGAGACTTTATCCCACCAAAAAATCATTGAACCTTTGCTGGTTAAAATACTGAAAAAAAAAAAATCTGTGAAATGAGGTTATTGCGACTCCATGTGCAAATTCTCAAAGAAATTAATACACTTTGTTACTGAGCAAAAAAAGCTCAAGAAACGTGGAAGTAAGGGTACTTGAGCAGAGTTTTCAAAAATAGGGCTTGTCAAGGAAAGCAGACCTGATCAAACTGATGCAGATGGGATTTGACTTGGGAGTTACAGAAATATGCATTAATACAATTCTAGTGAACAATATATCTCAGTTTTAAGACATCTGATACACTCTAAGTGGCAAGCACTAAACACAATTTGTGACTCCTATTTGTTTAAACTCTGCATTGCAGACAGAATGAATACAAAAGAAGTATGAGACAGAATGAAATAAAATTCCACCACCAAAGGTGAAAAACCCTGCATCCAAATTCAGAACTTCACAATGTCAAAATAAGGCCACGTTACTTCTGGTATTCTTTATTAAAAATACTGCTGTACACATGAACAATGAAAACAGGATTAAAGATGAGTAACACATACTGGGATCATGACATTAGAACTTAACATACTGGTGCTTTTTAGGGGAAGCAGTTGACACCTGAATTACTGAAACAAGGGCAAATCAAAAATACATAGGTACCCTCAACAAAATATTTACAATATAGTAAATACAGCAACAAAATTTAAAACAGGTACAAAAATTAAAATGACCAACATCAGATGATTTCAAAGGTTGTCCCTTCTGTGCTTTTAGCTGTAAAAAATAGGAAGGTCAGAAATAAATTTCCCATCTGGGAGGGCACATCCTGGTGACTCTTCTTTTAAATACAGATACACAGTTCTTCCTATGAATGGATCAAACTACAACTTTAGGACAACCTTCTAAATGGAATTAAAATGGGGTAGAAGGGTTCTCCCCAAAAAAACACCCAAGCTGAACTTCAGACTGTTCAAATCATTCCCAAATACAGACCAAATAAAATAAATAGAAAACATAGCTCAACTTCTTTTTAATTTTATGTATTACCTGACACCAAATATTTTCTGGCTGACATTATGTATGAAAACTTATTAGCTGTCTACCTTTTTATTTTTAAACCAAGTCCTGAGGTTACTAGGGGCTGAAGCAAACTGACATTATGCAAATACACACAGGTTTGCAATTTAGACATGTCTTGCAGAGGGTGTGCTGGTCTAAAAAGGATGAGAATTCAAGCCCTATTTTACCCCTGCCTTACACTTCCACAAAATATTGGTCCACAAATTAAATTTTCAAAGGTTCCCAAACCCCACAACTGAACAGATGATCCCCTTTCATTTTCAAAGAAAACAATACTGGAAAAAACCTCAGCCCGCTTATAAATTAAGCATTCCATATTTCTTCTAGAATACAAGTACTTCTTTTTTTGTACAAAAGAATTACAATATGATTTGTCAAAAAACATAGAAAAGACAGCTGCTCTTCCTCAAATACATGAGCTAATGATAAAAGACTGTTCTGCATGTTCACTTTTCAAAGTTCCTGTTCCTTTTAGATTAAAAAGAACATTCTGGCAACTGTTATCGTTTGAATATTAAACATTATGTTCCTTTTAAAATTGCAACAATAATTGATTTTTAAACTCAACAACTGATGCTACTTAATGTGGATTCAACCACATTTTCTAAAATGTGTAAAGCATGTCCCTAGTCTTCAAAGCTTTCGATGTGAAGAGAGTTGCTTTTTTCTTGATGCAAGTCTCAAGGCGGAGAATCATTTTAAAGCTTATAAAAGTGGACAGAGAAATATTAAAAACTTCTCTGAAAACTACAAATATTGAGAATCATTAAAATTCATGTCAGTAACATCAGTTGCAAGTGCTTAGAGTCTGTCCTGACCTTTTGAGTTTCCACATTTTCTTCATGGTGAGCACCCAGTGCTATTAAAACATTCAGTGCTGGGAAAGGATAGATACAGTCTTCACTACTGCTTTAAGAAAGGAAATTCCTACATATTTGGCAGTCTTCAGTATCAAAGTGTAGGTGTTTAACTAGAAATCCCATGAATACCCAAGTTTGGAGACAACTGCATGTCCAAAAATTAGAAAGGTAATTGAGGAGCAAAATTCCAGACTTTTGAGACTGAATTACTTCAGGAATATTCATGTGTTGAGTATTAGCAAAAGTAATATTACTTTGGGCTAAGCAGTGACTGCAAAGGCACAGCAGATCATTATCCCTCCAGATTCAGGCCGTAAAACTTGAAAAGCTCTTGATGCCAGACAACTGCTGTGTTTAGTTAATCTTCTTTTAACAGTGTCTTTGTATCTGTATCCAGTGTAGCGTACCATAATAAAGCTGTGGTTCAAAGAACAGAACTTTATACAAAAACTATACTGTAAATAACCTAAAGTAATACACTCCTGAAACTTCAGGCATTTAAACAATTTCTTTAAAAAAAAAATCTATTAAAAAAATTGCATAAATGTAAATGCTTCTGACTACCAGGAAAATGTACAAACAGTTTTTAAAAGGCGCTGGTTGTGTTTAGAGCAAGTTTGATATGCTCCTTAAATGAAAGATGTTTCCCATTATGCTGTTTTCGTCACTTCGCTTAGACAAAGTTTAAATCGAATGACAGGGGCGACTTTCTTTCCTTTTTAGTCAATTCACCAATACTTCACTTGACTGGTTTTAAAAAGTTGTTCCTTCTCAAATTTCTTTGAGCTAACAGTGGGTGGCATACAGAGCTTGCATACAACACACTTTTACAGAGGTTACGAACTAAACGGTCATTAATAGAACACAATTTCTATTAAATTATTTACCTGGTCCTTTATGCTATTCTGGGTGCAAATAATATCAAAAATGAATAAATTTTGCTATATCCTCAGTGACAAAAATGTATCCCAGAAATGTCCTTGCAAAGAGTTTCCCTTAAGTATACAATGTGGCAAAACTTCAGAGATCAGAAAAGTCTTAAAAAAATTAAAATTAGTGCATATACAAGTGGAAAAAATAAAAGTAGGAACATCATGCACCTGATGTGTTCCTTAATCTAAAATAAATTCTTCACAGATAAAGCCTCCAATGGCAGCCTTTGCTCTAGGATAAGTGAAACATTCTTCCCTTCAAGTAACAGTGTACCTGACTGAAGTGCAAGCAGCTTTGCTCATCTCCTGTTTGTTTCCCAAATGTGAAATGAGATGACAACAACAATTCAGCTGTAGTGCAATTTGCTATAGGTTAAGTTCCTCAGCAATG